GGTGAAGGATGTTTCTCGTTGACCTGGGGTTCTGAAGTGCTCCAGAATCATAGCCAGGATCTCCCGTCCCATGACATAGGTTCCTCTTCGGCTATGACTTTGTGTTCTCAATCTCAATTTGATCGCTACATGACGAGCAACATCACCGGCTTGGGCTATCACGTTTGACAATGCAATTGACAACTTGGCGTCAATGGACTGATACCGTTGCCCCCCACTGTCATTCAATAGCTCGATGTCAGGATTTGGTCGAATAGCCGGCTGTAGCCATGCCTCCCATGCGGCTTTGTCTCCGTCATTGGCCGAAAGAACAACACTCTTGATGAGATCTGATTGCCAAACCCCAAGATTCTGTTGCTTTGGCCATGGGCTAACATAGACTTTGTCAGCCTCTCGTCTTGACATTCTCGGTACTTCTTCTGCAGTGTAAGCCGCTGTGGAGACATCATCTGCTGAATCGCGTTGAGATCCTCGAACTGAAGGCAAACCTGGTGGTTCTGGAGGTGGTCCTGGTCCATTAGGCCCGAAAGGATCCGGAGGTCCATCAGGGTCAGGCGGACCGCCCCATCCACTTGGTGGTTTGTAATAGTCCCTCTCAGTTCCGCCAGCGATCTTGTTGTCAACCTCTTTCAGCAGATCAGCGATTCTTTTGTTTGATTGAGAATGTTGTTGTTGTTGAGGAGGTACAGCATGCCCACGATAGGAATGAGCCACATTTGTCTCATAAGTCAACTCCTTGTCGATCTGCGAAACCCAAGATTTCAGAATGGCATTTTCACTGTTAGCCTCACTCACGTCATTCTCCAGTTTGTCGATGACCAGTCTGGATGCGAGATCGGTGTTGGGAATGCCTGCCGAATAGGGAAGTGTGTCAGGATTGATTCTAGCCATAGATGTTTCAGAATCCTTGAGACTTCTTCTCAGTTCATCTAAGTGACGTTTCATATCAACAATCTCAGAATTCTTGATGCCAATCTTTTCATCCCTATCCTGGATTTCCCCCATGAACATGCATGATCTCTCATATTGTTGAACACCACTAGCCAATTTCAATTTTCGCTCACTCTCTAGTTCAGATCTTAGAGTTCGGACCTCAGCATTGGCGAGGGACGAAGTCCCTACATCCGCAACTTCAGCCAATCTTTCTTTCAACAACATGTTTTCTTGTAAACATTCATGAACTTCATGATCAAGATCCTGAACCCTAATTTGAGCGATTTTGGCTTGATTACGTAGATCTTCAACAAGCATCTCATCGGGGCCACGACCGTCGGTCGTAGAACCCTGAGTCAACGATCTCCGCAACTTCGTGTTCTGCAACTTGATTTCATCCTTTAACTCGCAGTTCATCTCCTGCTCATTGGTGTAAAGCTCTTCATAGTGCTCGGCCCTCGCGATCGAATTCAGGCTGGCCTGTGATTCAAGCCTCAGGTGTGATATCGCTTCGGCCTCTTGGTTCCTGTATGATGCAATTCTTTTGACGGTATCATGTTCGGTGTTTCGATGCTTCAGATCACTTTCTAACTTGGCCTGATTTGCCTCGAAAACCTCCTTCCTAGATTCTCTAGTGATCTCGTCAATACTGCCTTCATACAGCTCGGCCTGTTTACGAGATTGAACCAAAGCTTCACTCAATAATTGATTCCGTTCAGATAGTTCATGAACTGCAATCGACTGCTGTTGGCTAATCACTTCAAGTTGATTGCTGGAGAAGGATGCCATTTCGGATCGATTACGATATTCCATGATCGAATTCTGGAAATCATTTTGCATTTCTTGACCTTCATTGTAGAGTCGATTGGCAATATCGGTGGTTAAGACATTGGTTTGATGAAGTTGTTGAAGTCTTGCCTCCGTATTATCCAATAGTCCTTGAAGGTGATGTACTTCATCCTTGTACTCCTCCTGGATCTCCATACCACGTTGATGGATCCGTCGTGCACCATGTTCCATTAGGGCACCTCGGCGTTCAAGGTCTTGGATGCGCATTGTTGCACCTTCATCTTCTTGAGATGCTACCATTAGTTCTGCTTGATATTCTGCAACTTCATTCGCGGAACGTGACAATCTACGATTGAGTGCACTGACTTCATCAAACACGTTCTGGTTGTGTTCCTGAAGATATTCGGTGAATCTAATCTCGATGTCATGAATCAGTTGATCTCTAGATGCAGCGTATGCTTCCATGTTGTTCAACTGATTACGTAGGGATTGACACTGTGCCCGTAGTTCTTCTATCATGGCGATAGGTTCACTAGCCACAGAAGTATCTGTTGATCTCCTCTTAACACGACTATCCCCGGTCCTCTCACCAACTCGGTCGGTCACGGCCCTGGTGGATCTGTCCCTAGGAGTAGTTCGCCCTCGAGATTGTCGATGCCCTTGGCGGACAACATCACTCCGAGGACTGTTTCGAGAAGATCTTGGTGTACTTTGGGTGGATATCCTTCGTCTGTTTGTCGTCACTTGCCATCCGGACTGTGTAGTTCGGGTAGAGCGTATCCCACCACTGTCTGCCGTGTCACCAGGGGAAGATTGATTGACCTCCTCGACCGGCATGGCAGTGTTCTCATTGAAGGTAAACTGCGTGGTGCGCGAATCTCCGCTGCCGCCTTGCATCTTTGCGATGATGAGCTGATTGGTCCTTTGCGTCCTCAATCAATTGCTCAGAAGGTCCGGCTACCAGCACGCAGGCACCACTCTCCCGGAGGGAGAAGTGAGCTCTACGGCTGATAACCTGTGAACAAATTGATCCTTGTTCTGGATATAGTAGTTCAATTGGTACCCGCTTTACTGGTAATTCCCGGACCCGTTGATCATGGCGGACAGCGAACAATCCTTTTTGCTCACGCATGGGGTCTTGAGCCATAATGGCGTCCCACACATTGATTGTATGTATGTTCTCACTACGTTCCCTTTGACATATATATATATATATTATATTCATATATGTATATATTCATATATGTATATATTCATATTTTATCGTCCGTTATTTTGCTGGACAGCAGCAGACTGGATCCGTTCTGTTCATCCGCACCCGACTGAGCTCATCGCGGGCTGGGCCAGAGCACCGCAGGCGTGGGAGGCCCAGACCTCTCGGTGGATCGCTGGTGAAATCCGGTGAAATCATGGAATCAATGGTGAGTGGCCACTGATTCTGAGCTGATGGATTTTTGATTGGCGAATCAAATTGAAGCCCTTGCAATCAACGCTGATCCAGTTGCAGAATTGAGACTTCGGTTCGCTACATATCCAATCTTCCACTAGAAACATAAGATTCTGTCAGCATCTCCAATCAAAATCCTACTCCCCCAGGGCCTTGGTGTCGATCCCTGGCTGGGCCTTGGGGGATGTTTTGGGCTCTGGTATGACTGCAGGACATGGTATTGATACAAACGGTTCAAACCAACCAACCATAATAGGTACATCACGTCAAACATCGAAGTAGTGTTGGCTATGTATGGCTATGTGGCTATGTCCTACTAATATCTACTAATTACTTTAGGACCTGCATTCGGCCTCGTTGCTCAGAACTTTCAACTGGAACGATGAACATGCTGACTTACCGATGTGCACTGCGGGCTTGATGTGTCTAGTTTGGAGTCATGCCGGGACACGAGGGCACCCGAAAGAGATCGAAAGCGAAGACTTCACTAGTGACTTCACTCTATAAAAGGCATTATAAAAAAAATTGTGGTTCGCTTCTTTGTTCCTTTTTCAGGACCACTAAAAGAGATCCCAAGGGGCCATGGCTTTGAGGCACCCCACGGGTCGCGCTTGTATGGAGCCGCCGGGCCTTGTGAGTCCCCCGATTGAATCTGGGCCACCTTCCACCTGCGAATGCCTGAGTCCCCGGACAGATGGTTGTCCTCCAATAGGTGGAGGGTGCATTCACCGGCCTTGACACGTCGGCTTGACACACCAGATGCACAAACACAACACCCAAATCTATCCAAATCTTAAATCTTGTCTCAATCAGCTCTCCTTCAAGTGGTTCAGTTTCCTTCGTTCCAAGATCTTCAACCCTGAGCATCCCTGACGTAAAGGCCAACGAGCCAACAGGGGACGGTGGTTCTGGCGCGGCGATGTTCGGGTCACAGTCGAAGTTTCACCCTAAACCAACGCCCTTGTTGGCCGGCCGTGAATTTCTTGTCACCTGCTTTGTTTCTTGGGGAAGGCCAACAGGTTCATGGGAACACCACCGACCTTGTGGCAGCTGCAAGGGCGCTGGCCGCAGGAGCTCCATCTTATAGGTGACTGGCAGCATCATGAGATTTTCGGCGATGTGGGGTCCAAGTTACTTCGATGATTTTCCCAACTAAACCTTGTCATGTTTGATTAGCGAAGGGTACCAGTCTGGGTGCAGCAGCTGTTGGGTCAACTGTGCTGATGGGATGATGTTGGATGGATGACCCTGCAAACCCTCGGCTTCCTTCTTATTTCGGCCATTTTCTTGGATGATTCCACAAAAGAATTCAAGTTGAAGATCAGAAAAAATGGCTTCCAAAATTACTGACATTCTTTGGGATATCACGGCTCCACCCCACTTCCCCTGCCTGCCATTGCGCGACTGCAAAAGAAATAGTTGCACTGCACAGCTATCAAACAACACTGCGGTGGATCATGCACACTTCACAGGTGTATTCCCAAACACTCTTGGAAGATGTCGATGAACTTCCAACCAGGGCGGATATGATTGGTTTCTTATGATTCCATCCTCTCACCTATGAGAGGCCACCATGGTTCACATAGCATCCCATCAACACCTTCGGCAAAGCCACCATATTGCCAATTGCAAGCTACAAATATTACAACTGATATTCCAACCTCCAAGTTAGGCACACCAATCACCCGTCATGGGTGGGGTCCCACAGAAATCATTGATCCCATACTCCAAACAATCTTCTGTATTCCGCATGATATTCCCATTGATATCCCCATCTCCAAATGTTTTGCCCATCATTTACCATCCACCCCATCCACTACGATGCACCAACTTTTTCCACACGCAGCTCATCCGGGCGAGGTCCGCCTCAACCCGGCATAGTAGGCCTTCCGCTCCTGCCTCATCTCCTGGAAAACCGTGAGTCGAAAAAGGGGAAGCCCAAAATGATCAAAAAGATTGCGCAAAACGTGTGGAAATTCCTCCTCCAAACGGCCATTATTCGGATTCTTCGCACAAACAAATCGCAAAAATCCTTCACTGGTTCCTTGTGTACCTGGCCTGAAGGGTGCCATCCCCTACAAAACTAGGGAAAATCTTCCATGGCAAACAGCCAGGTAAGGCTTCATCATAAGCACCACCGCTGCAGCCTTTCGGTCCTCCTCCATCTCTTCATCCAGCACGCGCTGGTGGAAATTCGCCCAGCCGTCAGGTAGCGTTGCCTGTCGATGGCAACGGAGCTGGGAAGGCCATACCAACAGCAAGTCTTGGTACACGCTGGAATTTGGATAGAGAATGCCATCATGTTGCTATCCGGAGAATACCAAGCTTTCTTTTGGGGGCAGGACAAGTTCTTCCCTGGCTGCATTCAGGAGACCACGCCTTCCGATCTGGGCCTTTGAAGATTGGCCAGGCCTCAGCGATATCCGCGGTGTCCAATTTTGCCGGGCAAATCCGAGAGTCGAATTACCCAGCAAGCTGCGCAGAAACTGTCCAGCCAGAACAACTTCTTCCAGAATTCCTATCCGCTAGACATACTTCATTCAGATTTTGTCATTGTTCCACCCACGGCCGCTGGGCACATGGACTGCCAAGTTCTTTTCTTGAAGCTCCTGAAAGGCGTTCGTAGGGCCCAGGCTTTGCAGAGTCAGTTCTCGCTTGGTGGTCCAAAAAACACAGGAAGATCGGATTGCTATGCTGCATTCAATGCATTTTTTGAATTTTCAGCTGGAATTCAACAGCTTCCTCCAACTTCACATAGACCACGTCACGCCCAAGGACCGCCACCTTGGCGTAGCCCTGTGCAGCAGGGATGCACAAATTGGTTTCCCACATCTTTCCCGCCCTGAAAAGTTGGGTCACACCAGCCACTGGCATTCATCAATGAAACCAGTGGGACATACCCAGATACCCAGCACCTGCGGCAGTAAGATGGAATCCACCTGCATGGCTCTTCAGCTGGAAGGGCTCATGGGAAGCACCGAAACTGGGTCTGAAGCTGCACTAAGCACCTCCAACCATCTGGCCCCGCGAGTGACTTCAATGACCTCAGCGAAACATTGAAGGCTGAGCACACTTGCAGTATCCATACCTACCAAAGTCCCAATGACAAGATGGAGATGCTCCATCATTTTTAATCATTTATGGTGTCTCAAATCATTGACTAAGTTGGTTTTAGACCATTTTCATAGGGGATTCAGAGGTTTTCTCTAAACACTTGGGGATGCAGTTGGCATCTTTCCATGACCTTCCTCAGTCCACGTGGCCATGACGCGCACGTCAAACTCCTCCAGGTTCAATCCTCTGAGCACCGCCAGCTCCTGGAGAACGCCAAGGGCACCCGTATTTCTTCCATGGCAGCCTGGATCAAAACTGAACAAAATCATCCAATGAACCTGGGGAAACATGAAGTCATCAAGTCTACACTCTTCTAATGGTGAATCATAAGGGGTCACCAACTATATCACAACTATCTCACCATTCACATTGCCATCCACCAGAACCCCATTCCATCCACAACTGCCCCATCTGAGCTTTCCTGGTGCTCCACATCCACGCTCATTAGGTCGATCCGTGGTCCCACCCCTGCAGACCGCAGGATGTCGGTCAGCGGCACACAGTCCTGCAGCTGGGCGTCTGAAAATCGGGGAACCCCCAAAAAAAAGTTGGAAAAACATGGAAAAACCATGAAACTTGCCATTTGCTGATCCCATTTTTGGACAAACCCAATATGATGAACTGCTACTGAGAAAGTTGGAGGATTGAACATGTCCCACAACGTTCACTGTGAAGGCAAGGTGGAGGTGAGGGGTGTGATCGTGGAGGGAAAAACATCCTGTCCGCTCTGCAAACGCCACCAAGAACTGCATTGATTTAAACCGACAAATTGACATAACATAGCGTACAACTTCAACAGCTTGTGCAAACCCCAGAACCTTAACCTGGTGGCATATGAATAAATTATCATAAGTCAAGAATAAGCACTTGCCCAATATGCGGTCCGCATAGAATTCGACTTTCCCATCACGATCTGAGAAGGGACGCTGCGGAAGACCCGCCTCAGTGGTTCCATATCAAGGATTCTTATCCCAACTGAGATATATATATATATATGTTTGACGAAAAACTATGTGTATAAATATATAGATAGATATATATATCAAACTAGATATTTGTAACATGTGCTGGTCATGAAAAACAAGAGTTATCTTCCAAATGAGTGTTTAGGGCAGTGATGACATCCCAAGTTTCCCCTTTTGCAGATTTTTATCTTGTCAAGCAGAATCTTGAATGAGCCAAGTGGTGTGCGGGCGGTGCCGTTGCAGGAACCTCTTAAGTACCCAATGAAAACATACAAACACTTTAGTATTTTGAATTTCCAGTTCCATGGTTTCCATGGAGGTGATCCAACCATTGAACCAACCCTGGAGGACATCATGCCAACGAAGCTCGTCGGAGATGCAGTTCCTGAGCTCACAAGAACCATCACGCATTGCGCGTGACGCACCTCTCAGCATAACATTCACACTGGTTCAAAATTGCTGAACAAAACAACAAGGATCAAGTTGGTTTGGCGCACCTTCAGTTTTATATGCTACCCAAAAGGAGCAGAGCTCTTGTTCCAATCATGTTGATTCCCGCAAAATCGACATGCTCAAACTTCAGTCCAGCAGCGTAAAGACTTGACAGGACCGATACACCTCGCAGCCAAGACCGGAAAATTCAATGGATGACCTCTGTAGCTACACAGCTCCTGCCTCCAGCAGAATGCTGAGATGAGGGTTTGGCTCCACGCAAACGCCTTGCCACCCCAAGCACCGATCCAACATGACCTGAGGGAATAGCTTGATGCACATGGATGGCATCTGCGTGCATGTTTTGGCGATGTGGAAGCCGGGCGGGACCCTGACTTGCTGCCAAGTTGCAGTGTTGCTGTAGTCAAAGGGCAAGGATGCTCCAACATCCACATAGACTCCTGTGGAACCCAGTCCCAGAAAGTTGCTCAGCGCAAACCAATCTTGGCCTCGGCAGTAAAGACTCGTCCAATTCAAGACATGCTGCGATTCCTTCTGGTTGTCTCTACGTGATGATTGTGCCTTGAAGTAAGAAAACCTTTGGAAATGACTTACATACAAACAGCCAAAAACAGCAAGTATAAGCATAGAATGTCATTTGCATCTGCAACAGACTAAAACCCCGTGGAGACTTATCTGAATCAGCGATTTTCAAGACATGCCCTCAAATCAGCAACTCATCTCAGTTGCAGCTCTTGCAGTGTGCAATCAAGTCGGCACATCTGTTCAGCTTTGTTCAGCTTTCCTGTGCGTATCACCACCGCAGTCAAGGCAGTCAAGTCTCCAAACTCCGAAATCGATGAGTTCGAACCCTCCAAGGTATTGAAGTCCTCACAATGGAGGTCCAGAACATTGGGATCCTGCAGGATGCTGGTCTTGACCCGCGAGGCCTCAGCTTTCAACCACGCACTTGGAGACTTTGGGCACGACGATCCAACATGGAGAAACCCGAGAAATGTTGAAACCTGATCCAACAAGGTCTGAAAATATCTCGAAAACAAACTAAAAACCTCCAAAATCCTGTAAAATGGTGTTTGGTATTGGTAGAGATGGCACTCCAAGCGCTTCTGCCCAATCTTCTGCCCAGGAACACATATCCGGCGAGTGCAATAGCCCCTCATCATCAAGTAGGTTCGTTCCCAGAAGGAGTTCATATGGGCGCAAGCTGGGCTGGCCACCTGATCAATCGGCAATTTTTATGATCAAATCCTCTCAAAATCCATGAAAAAATGCATTTACTTACTAAGTTAACATCACTTGTTCATACTTTTTGCACCTTAATCCCCCACCCAATTTCACCCAAAATGTCCCGGAAAATCCAACCCAGCACCTCTGTGGTCTCATGGATACATTCGTCGGAGACCCAAACGGCCACCACATGGCTACCGAGTCGGGGTAGGACTCGATCCAAGCTGAAACGTGTGGAGACCTTCGAAAAAAGGACCAGGTCGCAGTTGCCGCCCTCCTCGCGTTACGGCCATGTTGGAAACAAAATGCATCAAAATGCGCTGTTCTCATTGGAATTTGGGGTATATATATATATATATACATATATACACATGTGTATGTATGTATGTATGTATATATATATAACATTATACACCCAGTATATCCCCATTGTATCCCCATATTCCATCCCCATTTCTAGACCAACACATCGATCTCCATCTCCTCCACTGCCACTCCGGGCGGCCGCTTCCAGAGCCCCGCGGCGGGCGTCGAAACGCGGGCACCAAAGGCCGCTTGGAGCTGCTCGGCGCGCGCGAACCTTGGGGGCTTAGTCGTTGCAAATGCCTGGTGAAATCGTAAGATATATGAGATCATATGAGAAAGGAGGACACTATGAGAATAATATGAGAATAATATGTCTGATAATAATAGAGATCATGTAAAAAGAATAGAGAATATGATAATAATGAGTAGAATGAGGATAATATTATCATGTGAGAATTGGCCAATCAACGATGATATAAGAATGATAGAGAATAATAGAGAGAAGTATCCAATCAAGAATCTGTGAGTCGACGGAGAATAGTGGGGATAATAATGAGATGAATAGATAATAATTGTCATTATGCAATCAACAATCTTATGAGAATAATGAAGAATTCATAATTGGTGATGGTTCTTTGGGTGTACCATCTTATGATAAATATGATCCCATCCGGAGAGATTGTATAGTGATTATTTTTGTTCATTAGAATGGATTATTTATGGATAGTAAATGGATTGATGGATATATACATATATATGTATACACATATGATATTGAGCTGTTGATTATCCATGATTCTTGGAAAATTAATCTTGGCTGGTTCTATCGAATTGTTCATATCCACTCAATGATAACCAATAACCACGAGTTCGACAACTACATATATGTTTCTCACGGATGATATCAATGTGGGATAGCCAACTACTGTAATAGTGGTTTAGGCCTCCATTTTTCTGATGAGTTCATTGCATATTCATTCCATTTGATGGAAAGAAGGTCACATGGGATAGATATTTCCAACCATCAGGTGGAGAAACGATGTGCACATGTGTCTATAAATACGTAGTATCTAAAGAATGTTGAAATATCGTATCTATTTTACATAAATTGGAAAGATGTAAGAAACATGTAAGTATATATATCAGTGTATTTTGTTTATATATATAACTATATATATAACTATATGTATAATTAACTATATATATATAACTGTATATATAAAACTATATCTATATATACAACTATATATTATATCTATGGCATTTCTGCATTTGGTTGTCAAATGGAAAAACCTACATGCCACAAGAAACGGGTCATCGTTCAAGGCCTGGCGCCGAGTCACCCGCTGCCATCCTCTGGGCCCAGATCTAAGAGCTCCAACTCCTCGTGGCAGCGTGGCACATCCCAAATCAGTGGAAAAATTGGGGCTAAACCAACCAATCTTTGGGTAGAAAATTGGGGAAGTATGCTAATAGTGCTGATATTGATATGTATAGTATGGTTTACCAGTATATAGATGTATATAGTATGCTGATATGGGGATAGAACAGAATAGTTGTGACTAACAATCTGATATTTTTGGGTAGTATACGGTATACGGGTACCCCCAAGTTATGGCCACATTGATGGGAACTATGATGAGTAACCACTATTTTCAGACAACCCCCATAAATTTTGACAAAGAAGTAAAGTGATCTTGGCTCGAAACATTGACTTCAAATCACAAGCAGATGACATCAACCTGGTTGGCTGCCGTGGCCACCTCATCCAACTGCACACCCTCCAAAATTTCCCAGAAACTCCCAGTTGAGCAATCCACAACAGATTCTCCCCACCTCCAGTGGTGGATCTGGAAACGTCAACATCCACTCTGCCAGTTCGGCACTTCCTTCGCTCAGCCCGAACTGACACGCCCGGCGGAGCGGTGGAGAATCGCCCTGCGGCACGTTGCGCGACTGCTGCTGCACCACCACCAGGTCCCACAGGTACTGCATCTCTTGGCTCAGCCCATCGACATCCTGGACCTCTTGGGCCACCAACGGGGCCAACGGGGCCACCAACGGTAGCCATTTCAGGCGCCACATCACACCATGGCTTTGGGGAAAACATGGACTCTCTGGAGTCTGCTCTACTCTTGGGGTTGTGGATCCTTGGGGCCTTCTCTAGACATCTCTAGACTATGCTGAAATTTGATGTTTGACATTGCTTGGCAATATATCTTCAATAACTATGTGGTTGCTACTATGATGCTAATTACATCTAATGACTTGATACCTCAGAGTGCGACTTTCTCGTTAAAGTCCATGACACTGTCCAGTGGCTCTTTTCCTGTCGTTTTATTCCTGAAGCTGTACATCCAACAGTCGAAAGTCTCGGCTTTTTTATGACAGGTCCGAAGTCCTGCAAAGTCTAGTCTAGCCATGTCTAGCCCCCTCGAAATTGAAAGCCAAGCAACTACCTTTGTTCACCTTTGTTCACCTGATACAACTGGTCAGTGACCAAACCAAAGCCAACTGGTCGCAGTCAGCACGGCAAACTATTTCGGGAGCGGTGCAGGCACAACTCGGACTGTCTCGATGCATGCCGTTCCAGCCAAAGCCCACAGAAAAACATGTGATTTTGACCTTCTTTGGTGCTTGGAGCCAACACAAAGGCAAAAAGTGGCGCTGGAACAACTTAGACACCTGACAGGATAAAAAGGCACAGTGCCTAACTAGAACACACTACTCTCCTCTTCAAGAGGATGTTACATACATCTGCTTAGTAGTAGGTGCCATCGTCCTTGCCCTGGGCATCCAACAAGCCCTTCCAGTAGTTTGCTTCATAGGCCTTCTTGGCGTTGACGTCCACAAGCACCTCAACCTCTCCAGAACCCAAGAAGCCACCCTGTCGGGCCTCGAAGACCAAGAGGTTCTTCTTCTCAACAATCAGACCAGTGAGAGGGCCAATGATGGGTGGAGAGACACACCAGTCAATAAGTTCACCGTTGGTCACCTTGAAGGAAGAGCCGTGCAGAGGGCACACAATCACGTCACCAATCACGTCCGCACCCTCACTCATGGGTGTGCCAATGTGAGGGCACAAGTTGCCAACGCAAAAGAGTGCACCAGCCTCGGTCTTGCCAATCAGGACATCGTTGCCTGCAAGGGTCAAAGCTCGCAGCTCAGTTGGCTGCAGCTCGGAGGCCTTCACTCCGGTCTTGATCCAAGCCAAAGTGGGCAGGATGGTCTGAGTGGTGTATCGTGCCGCGGTCTTGGAAACTCCAGTCTCGGAAGAGCTGGCAGGAGTGGCACCGCAGAAAGCAGGGGCCTGGGCTGGGGCAGACTCACGCGGCAAAGCGGAGACTCCCGGGACGCTTCCAGGCAAGTAGTGGCCCACCACGCAAGACATGAAGGCCATCATTGCGAGTCGGCCGTTCTTCAACTCCTTGAGCTGCATGCCTCATGTGTTATTGGCATCGAGTGTGAAGCGAAACTCTAAAAAAAATCACGTTTAAGTGATTTCTTGTGGTTTGTCAGTCAGCATCCGATCCCTGTTCCACTGTTTGATTGTGTAAACAGGTCTGGCTTTTGCGGGCCTGGCTCTCTTGCTGCAGTCAAATAGTTCTTTTTGGCATGCCAGTTTGAACCCACACCTTCTACCTCAAGTGACAAATAGCCTTACTGTCTTACTTGCACAAGACAAAAAAGAACAAAAAAATGCATGAATCAAATGTCCGAAGTACTCTTCATGCTCTCAGCATCCTTGGCAAGCTTCAAAGGATCGAAGCCAAGGTCTCCGGGCTCACGGTCCATCTGGCCAATCCAGGCATCGTTGGGGAAGAACTTGCCCTCAATGACCATGGCAAACGCAGAGATCTGAGCAATGCCGAAGCCCACAATGCCCTGAGGATTGTCATAGCACTTCTGCAGGGCCTCAGTCCAAGGTGCCTCTGGGTATCCATCAATGTGGAAAGAACCCTGGGCAAAGATGCCGACAACTGCCAGCATGGCACAGCGGCCGTGCTTCAGCTCGGCTTCTCGGAGCCACTGCACGTGTGGCCAAGTCATGTTGCCGTTGAAGTCAAAGTTGCGATCGTAGAGCTTGCTGAAGCCAAGGGGATCCCAAGGCTTGCCCATCTCGCTACCTGTCTCCACATCCGGACCGGTCATGGTCAAGCAGGCCTTATAACTTCCTGGCACAGGGATGGCCCAGTCGCCCACAAACTCCGGGTAGTTCGGGACACCAGATGGCCCAGGTGCATACACTGGATAGTCCCTCGGTGCAGGTGCAAAAGAAAGGCCAAAAGGTAGGTTGTTGCTGTCGCAAAAACATGGATGGCCTGAACCCTTTTTCCACATGTATGCCATATTTTTTCCCCCAAGACTTTCCCTTTTCAGGAAGGGTACATGTGTGTTCAATCACCACCGGAAGAACGCAAAACAAGAGGTGCTAAGCACCATGCGCGCGGGTTGCCACGGGCTGCATGTGCTTTGGCAACTTTGCCATCTCCTCTTCAGCTGCAAAGCTTTGTATTCCAAAACAAAGTCAAAGCCATTCATTAGTTACAATTGTTGGAGAGAGAGATATAGATATAATTCTTTGTATATCATCCCAATAGCCAAGCACCTGGTTGCAAATGGGGTCCAAATGCTCACATGTGGGAAAGCCAGGCAACAGATGGGGCGCTGCAGCTTCTCTCAAGCTGAACCATGTCCAAGACTGGGCGACTCCAAAAATATTCACATTTGTTAAATCATTTGTTCCATAACGATCCTTTCGAAAACGGGTCGCCCACAAGATGGGTCCCATTTCGGCAAAGCATGAGAAAGCGCTGGATCCAACTGGCCCAACTGGGCGAACTGGGCCTGGGCTTTCCGGGCCGTGCGCTTGCGTTCCACCAAGCCGCAGGCTGCCAAAGCACCCAGCGCCATGGCCGCCTCCGTGCCAAAACCATTTTCGTAGGAGTGGAATGGTGGATGATCCTTGCAGATCCGATGGATTATCCCAGTAATGTATCATGAAATACCAATTTTCGTCAGATTTCAATGGATTTGACTATATTTGACTATATTTGACTTTTCCAGACTTTTCATACAACTTTTTGGGGGCTGCTATCAACTCAACAATTCATACAGCAGTAGACCGACCTACTTACGAGTTCAGGAGGATTGGGGGAGAAATTCATCTGCCAATTCCCACCTTGGTGCCAAAAGTGCTGGTGCTGGCATTGCTTCCGGGCAGCGTTGATGCCGCGGGGATTTGAGGTGCTGGAGCTTGGGCCGCCTCAGAACATGTCATGAAATCCCCATCCATAGTGGGTCTGAAAATAGGCGACCCCAAAGTTGATGCCCAAAATCATCGTTTTGCCCATAAAAATTACCTCGGGGTATACAGTATATAATACATATATATATATATACCCCATACTTCCCCATACAGGATGTACCCCATTGTCAATATCTGTATCATCCATGAATGAAGGAGTCAACGAATTGTTGAGGTCCCTGCTGTGTTTGCCACAGGTCCAACTAATGCAACCTGCGGCCGGAGGGATGGCTGTGGTCACGGCAACTTGTCAACAAGAACAACCCCTTCAACTGCAGCAAATCTAATATAACGACTGAATGCATCAGGATACAGATTTGAGTTTGTCTGAAAATATGATGCACCAAAAACTCATGGTTTATCATAATTATCCTTGTTGAATTGCTATTTTGGGGGGTATACCGGTATTTCCAGACAACCCCATTTAGAGATTTTTGAAAATGGGTGTTCCTGATTCACCCACCTCCATGTTGTCAAGGTGTTCCCTGATCCCCTGTGCCCGTCCGAAACAACTATTCGTCTGAGCCGAGGGTGCCGGAAATTCAAACCTTCCAGTGGTGATCATTTGGAGCCGTCTTGCGGTGCTTCGTGGAGCTTCCTAGTTAGAATCAATACCAAATGGTTTCTCCTTGATGCATTCATACAAATTTCATAGGGCGTTAGTCAAATGCAAAGTCACATTTTGCAAAGAAGCAACCAAACAGAAAGTCATTGAAAAAGAAGCAGTGTTTGTTACCAAACCCTATCTTGCTCGCAGTCATGAACTCTCGCACTCTTTCTTGCTCGGCGCTAGCAAGATATGCTAGGAGAGACAAAAAGTCAACAGCGCCTGGCTCTCTTTGCACATTGAACTAGCCTGCTCCTTTCTTTCATTGCTGCTTAGTAGTAGGTGCCATCGTCCTTGCCCTGGGCATCCAACAAGCCCTTCCAGTAGTTTGCTTCATAGGCCTTCTTGGCGTTGACGTCCACAAGCACCTCAACCTCTCCAGAACCCAAGAAGCCACCCTGTCGGGCCTCGAAGACCAAGAGGTTCTTCTTCTCAACAATCAGACCAGTGAGAGGGCCAATGATAGGTGGAGAGACACACCAGTCAATAAGTTCACCGTTGGTCACCTTGAAGGAAGAGCCGTGCAGAGGGCACACAATCACGTCACCAATCACGTCCGCACCCTCACTCATGGGTGTGCCAATGTGAGGGCACAAGTTGCCAACGCAAAAGAGTGCACCAGCCTCGGTCTTGCCAATCAGGACATCGTTGCCTGCAAGGGTCAAAGCTCGCAGCTCAGTTGGCTGCAGCTCGGAGGCCTTCACTCCGGTCTTGATCCAAGCCAAAGTGGGCAGGATGGTCTGAGTGGTGTATCGTGCCGCGGTCTTGGAAACTCCAGTCTCGGAAGAGCTGGCAGGAGTGGCACCGCAGAAAGCAGGGGCCTGGGCTGGGGCAGACTCACGCGGCAAAGCGGAGACTCCCGGGACGCTTCCAGGCAAGTAGTGGCCCACCACGCAAGACATGAAGGCCATCATTGCGAGTCGGCCGTTCTTCAACTCCTTGAGCTGCATGCCTCATGTGTTATTGGCGTCGAGTGCGAAGGGAAACTCTAAAAACAATCACATTTAAGTGATTTCTTGTGGTTTGTCAGTCAGCATCCGATCCCTGTTCCACTGTTCGATTGTGTAAACAGGTCTGGCTTTTGGGGGCGTGACTCTCTTGCTGCAGTCAAATAGTTCTTTCTGGCATGCCAGTTTGAACCCGCAATGAAAACAGCTTCCATACCTTCTACCTCAAGTGACAAACAGCCTTACTGTCTTACTCGCACAAGACTAAAAAAAGGCACAAAAAAATGCATGAATCAAATGTCCGAAGTACTCTTCATGCTCTCACCATCCTTGGCAAGCTTCAAAGGATCGAAGCCAAGGTCTCCGGGCTCACGGTCCATCTGGCCAATCCAGGCATCGTTGGGGAAGAACTTGCCCTCAATGACCATGGCAAACGCAGAGATCTGAGCAATGCCGAAGCCCACAATGCCCTGAGGATTGTCATAGCACTTCTGCAGGGCCTCGGTCCAAGGTGCCTCTGGGTATCCATCAATGTGGAAAGAACCCTGGGCAAAGATGCCGACAACTGCCAGCATGGCACAGCGGCCGTGCTTCAGCTCGGCTTCTCGGAGCCACTGCACGTGTGGCCAAGTCATGTTGCCGTTGAAGTCAAAGTTGCGATCGTAGAGCTTGCTGAAGCCAAGGGGATCCCAAGGCTTGCCCATCTCGCTACCTGTCTCCACATCCGGTCCGGTCATGGTCAAGCAGGCCTTATAACTTCCTGGCACAGGGATGGCCCAGTCGCCCACAAACTCCGGGTAGTTCGGGACACCAGATGGCCCAGGTGCATACACTGGATAGTCCCTCGGTGCAGGTGCAAAAGAAAGGCCAAAAGGTAGGTTGTTGCTGTCGCAAAAACATGGATGGCCTGAACCCTTTTTCCACATGTATGCCATATTTTTTCCCCCAAGACTTTCCCTTTTCAGGAAGGGTACATGTGTGTTCAATCACCACCGGAAGAACGCAAAACAAGAGGTGCTAAGCACCATGCGCGCGGGTTGCCACGGGCTGCATGTGCTTTGGCAGCGTTGCCATCTCCTTGTCTCTGTGGCACATGTGGCATTCATGACAAAGAATCGCCAACAACCTCTCCGCTGGTGGGGCCAAGCGGAACCAGAATCTATCCCAACATATGATATATATATATATATGTATATATATATATATATGTATAACCATTCTGATTGTAGTATGCCTTTTTCCAAGATACCGTTCAGTTGCCTCTCACTTTGATATCCTACCAGGGTTACCATGATCTGATCGTGTAGACGACGCTCTTTCCCGCCTGTGCACGTCGTGCAGTTCGCTTGACACCGGCAGCGAGGGCCACGGCACCCATGGCCACAGTTGCCTGGCGGAATGGCGGAGTACCATGGCTTCACCGAGGGGGTTCAGCATGGTTTAAGCATGGTTCAACTGTTTAACCATCAAGGTTTGGCTATCAACAAAATGATGGGTAGATCATGGTGGATCAACTTTCAAAGCAATCATCTTTTGCAAAACCTTTTGGAAAGCGAGGTCAGCATGATCCTCCCAACCCATTGATCCAGCCTTCAGTCCGAAGCCGCTGGCTGGTGCTCCTGTTGACAGCTGAGGCCAACGAGGCGGTCCATCTATCACTTCATTCTCCGTATTCGATTCCTAAGGAAACAAAGACACTTTGAGTTTCTTTGAGTTACCATCTGGTTATGACTAACATAGGCATGGAAAATCACCATTTTATAGCTAGGTAAACCATCTATTTCGATTAGGGCCATCGAAATACCATGGCGAACTGTTAGTCATAACCAGAGGGTAGTTCCAATTCACAATAATCAACATGATCCACATCACCTTGCGGGAAGCTAACCACTGTTTCACCCGCAAAACCAGGAGATCTGTTGAGAAATCCCATCCTACCTGCATGTGCTGGAATCTGGTTCACTGGGCCAGTGCTGCTAACCTTGGCACAGGGAATCACCATGAAGATAGTTGGTGATACTAAGTAGACCTGATGATACTAAGTTACTCAGTGTCATCAAAGTGTTTAAGGGGTTGTGATTATATGAATTCTGCTTGGTGACTTGGTGATATCTGATTGGAGAATACAGGAAAGTTCTTGATGATATTTTGGAATTGTCACAGGTATATTGATACAATGTTTAATGATATGGGATACTCCAGAAAACCTCCTCCAAAAAGCTCTATGATTGATCCATAGAGAGGGAGGCCTTCCCGAAAGCACCACCAGTTTTCTATGGCTCTGGCACTGGTCACAGGTGCAACGAAAGCAGTGACCTGTCCAGGCCATTCCAGGCCCCAAGGGTTGGTAGAGAATGGGGTTCCAAAAATGCTGGGATTTATCACTACCTGGCAATCTTAATGGTGGAAATGACTGTCTAAGCATTTGGATGGATTCTTGTCCACCAATTTTCAGAGAAAGCCACTCCAAATGGGCAAAGACAGAGTCAATCACCCGAGTCAGTCGCCCCAAACGTCCAACCAGGAACACCATAGGACAAAGTCAGTCACAGCACAGGATGCAGAGAAACCAGCAAGAGGAGACAGAGAGTCAGCAACCGAGAGTCAGTCACCCCTCGGAAACCGGGAGGAGGATCAAGGAACGCGGAGGAAAACAGAGAGTCAACAACAAAGAGTCGGTCACCCTGGAAGGAGAATCCAGGAACCCCCGGGGAAAACAGAAAGTCAACAACAAAGAATCAGTCTCCCCTGAAAGCTATCTATCTATCTATCTATCTATCTATCTATCTATCTATCTATCTATCTATCCATCTGTCTGTCTATCTATCTATCTACCTATCTATCTATCTATCTATCTATCTATCTACCTATCTACCTATCTACCTATCTACCTATCTACCTATCTACCTATCTACCTATCTACCTATCTACCTATCTACCTATCTATCTACCTACCTATCTACCTATCTACCTATCTACCTATCTACCTATCTACCTATCTACCTATCTATCTATCTAGCTAGCTATCTATCTATCTATCTATCTATCTATCTATCTATCTATCTATCTAGCCATCTATCTTTCTATCTATCTATCTATCTAACTATTTAACTAATTATCTATCTTATCTTACCTTATTTTGCCTTATCTTATCTTGTCTTATCTATCTAGTAAGGAACCCATGGGAACATGGAAAAACGGAAGGTCAACAACAAAGAGTCCCTCAAGAAACCTTAACGCAACCCTAAAGAAACCCCAAGGCAACACTAAGTAAAGCCTAAACCAACCCTCACGCAAACCCTGACAAAACCCTACACTAACCCTAAACCAAACCCTAAATAAACCCTACACCATTTTTAAAACAAATCCTGACGAAACCCTTAGGAGCCCTAAACCAACCCCAAAGAAACCCTAAACCAACCCGAAATATACCCTAAACCAACCCCTAAATATACCCTAAACGAAACCTAAACTAACCCTAAATAAACCCTAAACCAACCTTGAATAAACCCTAAGCCAATCCTAAGTAAACCCCAAATCAGCGCTAAAACAAACCCTAAACCCGCCCCAAAACAAACCCTGACGAAACAATAATTCAACCCTAAACCAAACCAAAAGAAACCCCAAACCAAGCATCCATAAACCCCAAATCTACATAAACCCTAAAACAAAACCCTACAGAACCCCTAAACCAATCTTCAAGCAAACCCTAACGAAACCCAAATTTCACCTTAAACCAAACCTATATAAACCCTAAACCAAGCCTAAAAAACCCAAAACCAACACTAAGTAAACCCTAAAGAGATCCCAAAACAAACCTTGACGAAACCCGACATTAACCATTAACCCGAAACTAACCTCAAATAAAAACTAAACCAAGCCTGACTATACCCTAAACCAAGCCGAATAAACCCTAATCCAACCCTCGCACAAACCCTGATGAAACCCTAACTTAGCTTTAAACCAACCCTTAAAAATCCTAAACCAGGCCTAAATAAACCCCAAACCAACGCTGAATAAACCCTAAATAGACGCCAAACCAAACCTTGACAAAACCCTACATTAGCCCTAAACCAACCCTAAATCAAACCTAAATCAAGCCTGAATATACCCTAAACCAAGCCTAAATAAACTCTAAACCAAGCCTAAATAAACCCTAAACCAACCCTGAACCAACCTTAAAACAAAGCCTGACGAAACCCATCATTACCCTAAACCAACCCTTTAAAAACCCTAAACCAAGCCTAAAGAAACCCCAAACCAACACTAAGTCAACCCTAAATATACCCTAAAAGAAACCATGAGGAAACCCTGCAGAAACCTTAAACCAACCCTAAAACCAACTCTAAATAGACCCCAATTTATCTTGAAACAACCCTGAACCAACCCCAAAGAAACCATGTCACTTTGATGGCCCGCGAGGCACGCCGCAGGGCAGTCACCCCTCGCCCCCAGTGGGGCTGTGGAGGGTGACTGACTCCGACGTGGGGGGTGATTGACTCACTGTGCTCTGACTCTGCTAGTGGGCGACTGATTCCGTCTGGTATCCACTCCAAATGATGCCATCAGCTTAGCAGGTTTCCAATGCCTATGTCACCGCGTTGCCCCAGGCCTCCATCTTGTCAGAAGCTATGGACTATGGACACCCCTTTTTTTCTGGAGCAAGAGCTAGTTCTGAACCAAAACACCAAGAAATCACACAGAGCCTCTCCATAGACTGGGCAAGAAACACCAACCGCCCGAACTTCAAACAAAGCTACTTGCTTGTCAGACTTCGGAAGCTCCCCTTGACAAAGGTTCCCACATTTAAAACCTGCGAGTCAGGTCAGGCATGAAGATATGAAGAAAGCGAAAAAAATGGGAAAGAAACAAATCACAAGACTTTGCAAACACTTCACACAAAAAAAAAAGGCAAACGGGCTTTCATGCAAACATAGTCCAAAGCGGCAGTGCAGACACTTTTTCCTGGGCACTCTAGCACTCAATAAGTTAGACTTCTGAGCGAACAAAAAGTCAGTAGCGCCTCAAGTCTATGGAAACGTGATGAGATGCTCAGTAGTAGGTGCCATCGTCCTTGCCCTGGGCATCCAACAAGCCCTTCCAGTAGTTTGCCTCATAGGCCTTCTTGGCGTTGACGTCCACAAGCACCTCAACCTCTCCAGAACCCAAGAAGCCACCTTGTCGGGCCTCGAAGACCAAGAGGTTCTTCTTCTCAACAATCAGACCAGTGAGAGGGCCAATGATGGGTGGAGAGACACACCAGTCAATAAGTTCACCGTTGGTCACCTTGAAGGAAGAGCCGTGCAGAGGGCACACAATCACGTCACCAATCACGTCCGCACCCTCACTCATGGGTGTGCCAATGTGAGGGCACAAGTTGCCTACGCAGAAGAGTGCACCAGCCTCGGTCTTGCCAATCAGGACATCGTTGCCTGCAAGGGTCAAAGCTCGCAGCTCAGTTGGCTGCAGCTCGGAGGCCTTCACTCCGGTCTTGATCCAAGCCAAAGATGGCAGGATGGTCTGAGTGGTGTATCGTGCCGCGGTCTTGGAAACTCCAGTCTCGGAAGAGCTGGCAGGAGTGGCACCGCAGAAAGCAGGGGCCTGGGCTGGGGCAGACTCACGCGGCAAAGCGGAGACTCCCGGGACGCTTCCAGGCAAGTAGTGGCCCACCACGCAAGACATGAAGGCCATCATTGCGAGTCGGCCGTTCTTCAACTCCTTGAGCTGCATGCCTCATGTGTTATTGGCGTCGAGTGCGAAGGGAAACTCTAAAAACAATCACATTTAAGTGATTTCTTGTGGTTTGTCAGTCAGCATCCGATCCCTGTTCCACTGTTCGATTGTGTAAACAGGTCTGGCTTTTGGGGGCGTGGCTCTCTTGCTGCAGTCAATTTTTTTCTTTCTGGCATGCCAGTTTGAACCCGCAATGAAAACAGCTTCCATACCTTCTACCTCAAGTGACAAAATGGCCTTACTGTCTTACTTGCACAAGACAAAAAAAGGCACAAAAAGTCGCTTGAACCAATTCTCCGAAGTACTCTTCATGCTCTCACCATCCTTGGCAAGCTTCAAAGGATCGAAGCCAAGGTCTCCGGGCTCACGGTCCATCTGGCCAATCCAGGCATCGTTGGGGAAGAACTTGCCCTCAATGACCATGGCAAACGCAGAGATCTGAGCAATGCCGAAGCCTACAATGCCCTGAGGATTGTCATAGCACTTCTGCAGGGCCTCAGTCCAAGGTGCCTCTGGGTATCCATCAATGTGGAAAGAACCCTGGGCAAAGATGCCGACAACTGCCAGCATGGCACAGCGGCCGTGCTTCAGCTCGGCTTCTCGGAGCCACTGCACGTGTGGCCAAGTCATGTTGCCGTTGAAGTCAAAGTTGCGATCGTAGAGCTTGCTGAAGCCAAGGGGATCCCAAGGCTTGCCCATCTCGCTACCTGTCTCCACATCCGGTCCGGTCATGGTCAAGCAGGCCTTATAACTTCCTGGCACTGGGATGGCCCAGTCGCCCACAAACTCCGGGTAGTTCGGGACACCAGATGGCCCAGGTGCATACACTGGATAGTCCCTCGGTGCAAGTGCAAAAGAAAGGCCAAAAGGTAGGTTTGTTGCTGTCGCAAAAACATGGATGGCCTGAACCCTTTTTCCACATGTATGCCATATATTTTTTTCCCCCAAGACTTTCCCTTTTACTGGAAGGGTACATGTGTGTTCAATCACCACCGGAAGAACGCAAAACAAGAGGTGCTAAGCACCATGCGCGCGGGTTGCCACGGGCTGCATGTGCTTTGGCAACTTTGCCATCTCCTTGTCTCTGTGGCACATCTGACATTCATGACAAAGAAACGCCAACAACCCCTGCGCTTGTGGATCCTCCGAAATCTTCGTCGCCCTATTGAAAGATACAAAAGTCAAAGAGAAACTCCAAAATGCTTTGGATAGGACCTACCTGTGGTAACTTCAATCTCTTCCACTTCCCGCGCGGCAGCTGCGTCCTGTGCTGCTCGTGCTACGCGCTTGCGACTTGCTGCGAGGGCACCAACGGCTGCCACTCCAGCAGCAGTGCAGGCTGCCTTCAACCCGAAGCTTCCAGTGGCACCGATGTCAGCAGGGCTTGGGCCTCACATGGAATTCAGCGGGAACATCTAAAACCAAAGCAACCAATGAGCAACCAATGAAACAGATATTATCTTCCCCCTTTTTAAAGTCATTTTAGGAGAAAGTCAAACTGTGAAAATCAACAGTTACATTCACTATCCGTGGCCTGCGCGGAGAGGCACGATCTGCGAGACGGGGCCAGCCACCTGAGGATGGCGAGCCATTGTAGCCGGCTCAAAGCTTACGAAGTAGAATTAGCAATTGAATGGCTATGGTTTAGTGGAATATCAGTATCATGGGAATACAATGGGATGATTTACTTTCATATATATATATACATATATACATATATACATATATACACAAATACATATATACATATATACATATATACATATATACATATATACACAAATACATATATACATATATAAATATATACATATATACATATATACATATATACATATATATACATATATACATATATACACATATATACATATAAACATACATACATACATACATACATACATACATACATACATACATACATACATACATACATGCATACATACATACATACATACATATATACATATATACATATATACATATATACATATATACATACATACATACATACATACATATATACATATATACATATATACATATATACATATATACATATATACATATATACATATATACATAATGTATGTATGTATATATATATATATGTGTATACAGATTATATACAACACTATATAATACTAATATATATATATATATTGTATATATACATATTATTACCAATATTGACCAATAAAAACATGACGTCTTACTTTCCGGCATTTTCCTTTGTTCTTTTTGACTACGTAGCATGCTGCAACTATCATCTGGAAACTGAGGCCCAGGCATTGGTGGCAACAGGAGTAAGGAAGGCAACCTGCGGTCGAATTGACGGTCCCACGTCCCTCATGGATTTCAACCAGATCAACTAGGTTAAAACATGTTAAAACCATGAGGCTCAGTGCCTCCATGCTGTGACGCAACCCTTGGTTGACTCGGGCGGACAGACCAGGCTGGCTGAGCGCTGCGGGTGTGGCCAAATGGTGCAGAGAATGCTTCACCAGCGCACCAAATTCCAATGCACCAATACTTCAACAAGATGCAGCAAAGTGACTATTCAAAAATATGATCATATTTTTTGTAGATTTAAAAGCTATGTCTCAAGTTGGTCCGGTTTTTGGGCATGCATGGAACTTCTGGTCTTCTGCAACAGCTAAGCAAGATTCAACGGAGTCAATAAAAGTGACAACACAAGCACTTCAGAGTCAGCCACAGTTTGATTTTTCTGCAGGGCAGTTTTCCTGATGCAACCACTGTCAAAGTGGGATCAGAGATCCCGGTGGATGGTTACTATCTGCCTACCCGGCCTACCCGTTGCAAAAATTCCCTGGGAAAAAATGGATTTATCGGATAAAGTTCACATCTGGACGCATGGCCTCTTTGATGCCATTGTCCTGTCACAAAATGCCATGGTTCGAAGCACTCAGTAGTAGGTGCCATCGTCCTTGCCCTGGGCATCCAACAAGCCCTTCCAGTAGTTTGCTTCATAGGCCTTCTTGGCGTTGACGTCCACAAGCACCTCAACCTCTCCAGAACCCAAGAAGCCACCCTGTCGGGCCTCGAAGACCAAGAGGTTCTTCTTCTCAACAATCAGACCAGTGAGAGGGCCAATGATGGGTGGAGAGACACACCAGTCAATAAGTTCACCGTTGGTCACCTTGAAGGAAGAGCCGTGCAGAGGGCACACAATCACGTCACCAATCACGTCCGCACCCTCACTCATGGGTGTGCCAATGTGAGGGCACAAGTTGCCTACGCAGAAGAGTGCACCAGCCTCGGTCTTGCCAATCAGGACATCGTTGCCTGCAAGGGTCAAAGCTCGCAGCTCAGTTGGCTGCAGCTCGGAGGCCTTCACTCCGGTCTTGATCCAAGCCAAAGATGGCAGGATGGTCTGAGTGGTGTATCGTGCCGCGGTCTTGGCACGCTTGCGGTTGGAGGCCAAACCCACAGCTGCTGCAGCACTGCAAACGCCAGCTGCAACCTTCATTCCAAAACCGCTGGGCTGGGATCCTGGAGCTGTGCCGATGTGCTGCTTGGCAATAGCAGATTGACCGACCTGGGATGACCCAAGTTTTGCAACTGAGAAAACAAACATGATTTGCCGAAACTGCAAACATTGTCCCTGAAACCTAGCCCCAAAACATACATGAAAATGATTTTGTACATGATCATGAATTTTCCCTTGACAATGATTTTCCTCTTGGAATTGATAAACGCAGCGGAATCACATGGATTTGCGACCAAACCGGCATATATATATATATGGCATATATGACATTCATTTTTGGGTCCAAAACTAAGGTCATCGCATTTGGAGCCAGGAAAGCAACCTGTCGAGACTGCAAAATGCATTGGTAAACAGTGGCATTTCATGCGCGTTGATGGATCTGCACAAACCAGTTGTCACAACAATTGACTGAATTTGCATGTCCAGGCGAAGGCGCACCTCCATAGCCATGTTTCAGATGGTGCGAAAAGGAGGCTAGCCGCAACTGATCACGGGCAAACCCAGCACTGAACCGAAACAACGAACATCAAATGGCCCTTGTTTCTGTTTTGCCAACACACCAAATATGTTCGGAAAAAAATATGACCCAAAAAAAACTAGCAAAAAAATCACCCACGTGGTGCTAGTTATGTAAGTAGATTCCCACCCTAAACCCTCCCAAGGAAAAACACGGAACTTACGCTCGCGAGAAAACCTCTACAAATTTAGTTTCGGAAAAAACACGCCAAAGATATCTATACTCCTAACGTGAGGCTATCGCCACGGTATACATATAAACATTATATGAAAACCACGCGGTATAATATAAACATCCAGTGCACATGCAGACAAGTGAACATCACAAATGGAAATCATTGCAACTGAAAGCAGGCGGTCATTTTTCCCTTCTCATTAAGTTGAACGGGTTGGATTCACACCAAGGTAAACGACAGCCATATATTTCCGATGGCAACCGAGTCGAATACCCCCCAAAGGTGTGGGAGGGTGGGCTAAAAAAGTTGCACCAACCCTAACCGATTGATCCACTGGAAAATACACGGACATAAATAGATTTCATCAAATTGTTCTATACAACCTTTCAGGTGATTAAAGGAAGTTTGTACAGGACATATAAAAAACCAAGTTCAAGTGAACTAAAAAATCAAAACACGATCCGAGGAATTGAGATTTCTTCCGGATGGAAAAGGCCATCAAGTCTCAATTACCTGTTTACCTTGAGTAAACCAAATTTACCGAACAAGCAGAACATGGTTGTTCCACAAAGTTGTTTTGGTAAACCAACAGGAAGTATAATCAATACTTCCAATTACCCAAGGAAACAATCCACTGGCGTGTATCGCGGAGCGCAAGGATCGCGTAAGGAGAGTATCTGGGAATCAAAACAGAGAACCGGAATACGCCACAGGGTCAAAACCGGACCATATCGCGTATTACTTACTTCCAAACACACAGTCGCAACACGTCGCGAATGCGTGCTAGTTATGTAAGTAGATTCCCACCCTAAACCCTCCCAAGGAAAAACACGGAACTTACGCTCGCGAGAAAACCTCTACAAATTTAGTTCCGGAAAAAACACGCCAAAGATATCTATACTCCTAACGTGAGGCTATCGCCACGGTATACATATAAACATTATATGAAAACCACGCGGTATAATATAAACATCCAGTGCACATGCAGACAAGTGAACATCACAAATGGAAATCATTGCAACTGAAAGCAGGCGGTCATTTTTCCCTTCTCATTAAGTTGAACGGGTTGGATTCACACCAAGGTAAACGACAGCCATATATTTCCGATGGCAACCGAGTCGAATACCCCCTAATCCGAGGTGGACATCCGACCTACCAGGGACCAAGACCTCCTTTCCGTGCTTTCTTCTTCTTTGGCTCCATTGGTGTAGCTTCTGATTTCCTTTTCCGCATCTCTTCATGAGACTCATTTGCATGTACCAGAAAATCCGAGAGCACGTGCCAGCTCTGTTCAAAAGGTTTCCAAAGCACACGTTGGTTCAAGTCAAAACTGTCAAATTTCATGTTGGATAGGTCGTCTGCTAGTTGATTTTTGTCTCTCCTCAACCAATCAAGCGTCAGACAACAATTTCCCAATCTAAGCGATTCGGAAAGCTCCATCACCAGCACGGTGAGCGGAAATTTGGTGCTCATCCATTTCGCCACAGCGTATGAATTTCCCAAGTTGTCTGTCTTTCCCCTTATCCAACACTTAGCACTAGAGCCTTTTGGATTGTACGGCATCCAAAGTTTGACAGCGACAAGAGTTGCCAAGAGCTCCAATGAAGCGTTCAGCCTCTTTGGGTCCTTTCTCAGCTTCAACCAGCCGGCCCAATCAGCCGTTATCTCCTCTGAGAACCAAGCCAAAATTTTGCCTGACTGATCCTGCTTGTACCCACCAATCCATGCTCCATCCTCCGTGGCTCTAGCATCTGTGAAGAAGAGCATCTCCTCCTCCGACTCCTCATCAGCTTTCAAGGGTGGGGCCTCTTGCAACTGACCTTCTTCTTTGAACCGTCGGGCAAGAAAAAGTAAAATAGCTCTGAGCATCGCCGGCAATCTCAACTGGCCCCGCTTGTTACGCGTGGCTGCTGACCAGCTGTAAAGTGGTCCCAAGAAAGGTTTTTCCCAGTGTAGGGCTAGTGCAGCAAAACCCAGTCGCCCCAATCCCTGCTCGAAAAATTTTGATGTGGTGGTGCCTTCTTTTGCAAGCTTCAAGACCCAGTTGTACATCCATTCAGCTCTCCTTGGGGAGAGTCCAAGCTTGTATGTGGTATAGTCTGTAAACAATCCTATCCACTCAACACGCAGCCCACCACGTTGCTTCGCCCATTTGAAAGGGAAACCCAAACAAGAAAGAAATAAAAAGGCCAGTGTGATGCCTCTTCGCCCACCCGGGCTTGCCGCTATGGCCTCAACATCATCTGCAAAAATCAAAAGCTCTATCGGCATCTGTGGCCCCAAAAGTTCATGCACCAACCTGACACCTGATCCAGCAATCCTTGACCACCAGTAAGACGCACATGCCAGACCAAAGGTTCCAACCTTATTAATATAAACGTAAGGATCATCATCGCTAACTCGACATGCCAAAAGTCCTCTCTCCTCCGGTGCATGAAGAAATCTTCTATGAGCCTTGGAGATGTCCCCCACCAAACTGAAAACCGAAGCCCTGAGCAGTTGGAAATAGGCCAATAAGTATTGCTTTTCTCTCTCGCACGGGCTTCGAACCTTATCTCGGCACTTGATGCGGTTGTTGATCTTTGTGCCATGGGTCGCGTCGTGGATGACCCTGCGTTTCCCTTGGTGGTTTTCCTCGACTAAAACTGCAAGAGATGATATAGCTAATCGCCCACCAAACTTTTGTTTTGCCTCATCCAGAGTGAGCCTTTCCATCAAGCCCTCGTTGCATTCCTCCTAAAACTGCTGCCTGACAAAATCCTGGTGGGCTTCCACTGATTGATAGTTGGATCTCCAAACCTCTTCCTGCATGTGTGGGTCATCCTCCAGTTTCCACGTGGTCTGTTCCTCAAAAACGTGAGGGGTTCTCGGGAGTGGGTTGTCCACTCCCACAGGGAAACCTCTCTCCCCCTGCATCAAGAACTCCCGGTCCATATCGCCCGAGAAAGCCAGTAACTCCTTGAGGAGCCTCAGATAAATGGGCTGGCCAGGAGCTCGAAATTCCAAATCCTCTTGAGTACTGCCATGTTGTTGAAGTTTCCTAACCCAGAGCTTTCGGATACTATCCTTGAGCCCTTCATCACAAACAATATCGCATCCCTGTTCGCCTTTTACCGCCATCTCAAAACATGCCCTGTCCAGCTTCCGCTCATCACCCAAGTGTTGTAAGACCATGTCCAATGTCTCTTTGCGCAACTCCAACCAGAAATCACTGTTGTTCCAAATTCTTTTGTCAATGTCCCATCTCCCCATTGATGGGAGTCCAGCTCCATCATGGAAAAATCTTTCTCTGCCGGGTTGTTGCCATTTCCTAGGCGGTCCGTATCCACCCAAGAGTTTTTCCCCGTCCGGTTGTAAAATGGGAAAGTCTGTCCTGTCTGAGTGTACTTTTACCCCATCGTCAGCGATGACAGGACTCTGGTTGTAACGCAACATGAACTTGTCTAAAATTGTAGTTGCAACCCACTTGCAAAAAGAAGACGGCCACTGCTCGGAACCAGTAGTTGCAAAAGCTGCCCCTGATGTTCCCACCAATTGTTTTCCCGCTGTGCGCGTTTTCAGTGGTCCCTGATAAAAACCTTGGTCATCAAAAAGGGGTCTCCCTTCGCAAAAGCTTCATGCAACTTGTCAACATTTGCCAGTAGTAGCCTCGTGGGCTTCAGGTAGTCTGTACCAAAATCCAGTTGGTGGAATGCTACTGATGTCACTTGCTCCAGCTGTAACAAAGTTGAAAACTGTTCCCATTGCCACATGCTTGCCGGCCTAACTCCAAAGTTCTCGCCGCTTCTCATTGCCCCCAGATCCTCCGGATTTTCAAAAATTGCAATGCCGTCCTGTTGTTTTGCTTGCAACTCAAAACCCTTGAAAGTGAAGTCTGCCATGGTGTTTCCCCATGTTGCTCTTTTGCGTTCTGCCCATGTGAGCCTATTCAAGCCTCTAGGAAATCTGCAAGACCGCACTGGTCGAGGTCCATGTCTATTCGCCCAGACCACTCGTGAGAAGGTACTGCATGGTGGGCTAAACAAAACTGCATCGTAGCGTCCTGTAGCTATCTTGTTCAACAAGCGCTGTTGGACTTCTTTCTGGGTGAGGTCCAAGAACGGTCGCACTTGAATGTCAACCATTTCAACCTCGACTGTCACTCCCAATCTTTTTGACAGTTTGTGCAGCCATGATGAAACTGAATTCTTCCTGGGTTTTCCAGAAAATATATATAGAACTCTGCAAACTCGCTTCGTAGTTGGGTTCTGCTTGCATGCAGTCTGATCCCCCAATGGTCAGTGTGCCCCGGTAGTGTCCGGGGGGCTCTTCTCTTCCTTGCAATTCAACGCATTGTGCCCTTTCTTGTAACATCGACTGCAAACATGGGAGAATTTGCATTTCTGATAACTGCACTTGCCCTGGTTGAAGCGGAAGCAAATCTTCGTGCCATCAGGTGTGTGGTGCTTGATCCTTTGCCCTTTGACTTTCCCTTAGAGCTCGATGACTTTCCATTCTTTCCCTTTCCCTTTGGATTCCATTCACCCCAGTTCTGCTGTGGATAGGACCTCTTGCTGTAAAGTGCAAGTGGAGTGATGAAGTGACGCTCCTTGGTGGTAGGGCACTTCCATGCCTGTTCCAGTGCCGCGCCCAGTTGCAATTGATCTGTAATCATCAATGCATATGCCCTCTTACGTATGGCTTGTTCGTATGATAGTATCAACGTCCAAGGAGGTGTTTGAACTTGGTTACCTTGCAAATCTGTTGATGAAAGCCCCCACACATAGTCACCCAAAACGTAGTCCTTGTACCGCTCAAACAGATCACGCGTCACATCTTGGATTTCCTCTCTGTTGGGATGCTTAATGGCCAACATGAGGATTGCGTTGACCATCACCGATAACCTGCGTCTGAGCTGTTCTGGTCCCGTGGGCAAAGGGATTGTGGAAGCCCCTTTTCTAACTGAAAGGCTGCCCTTCGCGTCGAAAACTGGTATCATCACATCAGGGTCCACCTCATCTTTTGAGACAACTTCGGCCATTGTCTCGGCTCTGAACTCTCCATTCTCAAGCTCTTGCAACTTCTTCTCTAAATACTCCTTCGACGGAGTTACCTTGTCCTCCAGTCTTCCATGCACCTTCATGTATGCGTTGCGCATGCTAATGTAGTCTCCAGTCGGAATGGGTTTGGTCCATTCACGTGTTTCCATCTCTGCTTCAACTTCAGCCTGTCGCTTCTGACGCGTCTGTGTTTCGCGCCACGCACATATCACTGCAGCCACCTGTGCTCTCGCCTGCAAGCTTGTATCTGCATCTGTGTTGAACTCCTCTTTCAAGACCTTAACAAGGTCGTCCTCCGATCTGAAGAAGGAGGAGAACTTCTGTATCGAAGTCACATCATTTCTGTAAAAGGATGCTTGCAAGTCGTTTGAAACATCGTTCCTCGTGAGGATGAACTTCAAGTCTGAACTGCCTCTCTTCAACGCTTCCTGCAGGGCAATCTCCTCTGGAGAAGCCATGACACCGAGCGCTGGCGCTTGTTCAAACTCCTATTCAAAACGTGTTGTGAGTCCCCTTGCAAACCCAGTTCATCCTAATCGTATTGACAAAGCGACAAAATGCAAGCAAATTCCTACGTCACTTCGGAATGTGTGTTCTGGAGAGTGTACATCAACTGCATAAAGGAAAATCAAGCGGTGTTCACCTTTCTATGTACTAATGATCCTGCTATCAGTGCTCCTAAAAAACCTGTGGATAAACATCTCATCAGCTTGACCGAGCTGAGCCTAAACACCCGGAGAAATCTGCGGATCTCTCTGTCACCGTCACCGTGCCCATGCATGTCTTACCGGCATGGGATCCAACCAATTTCTTCCTTCCGAGATCAGTTGTTTCTTTCTTACTTTCTCCAAATCAAATGAAAGCACAAAGAAAGAAATCATCACCCCGACTGATCAATTCACTTGGCTCCAGCTATGACCTTTTCTTTCACGGGTGAGATGATACCTATCCACATGTCCCCTTTGGGATGTGCACTCAAGCAAGATCAAACTATTCGCTTGACTGTCCTGATGAGCTGCTGGCACTTCTTGAACTTGAGGTGGACGATGATGAGGAGTCCGACGTGGCTGAACTTGGTCCCGCCTTTGGCCAGCACACCTTGCAGTAATGCGTGTACTCACTTGCCTCAGGCATGGTGAGATATTCTGTTGCTGACTTGAAATTCATCTCTCTCCCCATCCAACATCCGCCATGACTCTTGTGAAGTCTCTTGCATTTCTTCCCATTGTTGACAACGACAAACAAGTGTGCACGTTTCTCCTTTGTGACATTGCCCGTATCTGTTATCTTGCGTTCTGTCTCCAATGAAGCGTCAATGTCGGCTTCCTGGAGTGTCTCATCATTTGCTGTGTTTCCTACTTCTGTCCAGTCTGCAAAAATTGGTGAGGCCAGTGATTCCTCAAAATGTTGAAGAATGCGATCAACGCCTTCCTCTGGAAGGTTTTCACACCTCTCTGACAACCATGACATGGCACTCTCAATTATGTCTCTCTCATCCAGCTCTTTGTGTCGCTCAGCTCCTCTTGCCGATTTTGCAAACTGTTGTTGTAACCTAGCAATGACACCGTTGTACATCCTGATGTAAGTGTCTGACCCATCTGGCTTCCATCGTCCCAGCATGTCACGCTCCTCCTTCTGAGCTCTCAGCAGAGCCAAGCCAGTAGGCACTGTTGCCCTCTCTGAATGCTCAGTCCAAAAGGCTGCCAAGACAGGATGTATGATACAGTCATCTTTGCCAGGCCTTTTCAATCTGCGTCTGACCCTTGATGAGTATGCACTAATATCGTTGTATGACGCCATCACTTTACGAAAGGCTGACCATTCATCATTCAGCTTGGGAAGCAAATAGTCCCTCTCAAAAGGTGCATGCTTCTTGAACAAGTCAAAACCCGTCTTCAGCCAAAAGGGGTTCGAAACAAATGCATGCTCTGAGACGCAAACCGGAAGCTCTTGTACTCGTTTCGATGGCCCTGAGGTCTTCGTAGTTCTCAAAATGGTGGTCATGCGTCCTCCATAGAACTTGAGTTCCTTCGGGATGATCTTCTGGGCATCATCCCAACGAAGAGTTGCCCATAGTTTCACCAGTTTTACCCATGCAACTAAACGAAAGCCTATACGCTGACTTTCATCTTCAACAACATGTTCAAAAGCTTCCATCATCACAACTGGATAACGTGGTGCACGCTGAGTTGGTGGCTTTTCCTTGGAAAGCATCTCTACCAAATAGTCCCTGACTGAGCAAACCACCTGTGAGTCGCCTATTCTTTCACGTGGATCAATGTCTGCAACACGTTCCAGCCAAACAACAGCTTTCACAATAAGAGGTGGTACTGTTGCTCCGCACGGCTCTTCAAACCTTGTGAAAAGATACTCCACCAGATCACCTACTTCTGGACTGGCACTCATGCCACGCACTGCTGTAAGCCACTGCATGAAAGATCTCCATGTTTTGATGTATCGTTTCAGTGTGTTATGCCTGGTTCTACCTGCCAGTGCAAGATGTAGGTGTTTCTGATCCACACAGTGTTCCAAATGCAGTAAGGCCGGAGCGTCCAGACGCTTGAGTTCCTTGTACAACTCTCTGGACCAAGTCTCTTTCTGTCCTTGTTCTTTCTTCTGTCTCTCCTCTGCATCTTCTGTTGGAAAATTCCTCCTACGACTTGGCCTAGAACTGATGACATCGAAAGCAAACTCAGTGAAAGTTGGTGCAACAGGTTTTGGATACAAAGTTGAACAACGCTCATGAAGCAAGTTTCCATGCAATGGGTCCATGCTCTCGTCTCCTCTCAAACGTTTCTGTAAGGGCTCCGCATCACGAGCATCCCTCATGATCTCTGCTACCAGGTCAACATGTATCTGCTCACAAACCAGACCCAATTCCCTGCAAACCTGTGACGCAATGTCATCTGCATCATTTGGCAAGAAAACAGCAAGCTTCTTAGAAGACAAACCACATGACTGCAAATGACACGAAATCTGCTGTCTCAAAGTTCCCAGCTCCATGAGGCTTCGAGAAGGCTAGGCGCAGCCGTTCCCCCCATCTAAAAAAGTTGCACCAACCCTAACCGATTGATCCACTGGAAAATACACGGACATAAATAGATTTCATCAAATTGTTCTATACAACCTTTCAGGTGATTAAAGGAAGTTTGTACAGGACATATAAAAAACCAAGTTCAAGTGAACTAAAAAATCAAAACACGATCCGAGGAATTGAGATTTCTTCCGGATGGAAAAGGCCATCAAGTCTCAATTACCTGTTTACCTTGAGTAAACCAAATTTACCGAACAAGCAGAACATGGTTGTTCCACAAAGTTGTTTGGTAAACCAACAGGAAGTATAATCAATACTTCCAATTACCCAAGGAAACAATCCACTGGCGTGTATCGCGGAGCGCAAGGATCGCGTAAGGAGAGTATCTAGGAATCAGAACAGAGAACCGGAATACGCCACAGGGTCAAAACCGGACCATATCGCGTATTACTTACTTCCAAACACACAGTCGCAACACGTCGCGAATGCGAATTGAATTGAAATCATGAACATGGCATATTCAACTTCACAAAAGTCCAATTTCAATCCGCGCACAACATTCACGGGACACATTTTCCAATACGTGGAAACACCACAGCTTAATTTGATATTTTTTCACAAAAATCAGAACTGCGGATTTTCCTTGAGTTGAAAGCGCCTCCAAAGTCTCACCATGTTACACTGCTCGATTTGTGCAGTGTCAAGTGACAAAACATGACTGCTATGGCATGTACATGTACTGATGCAAGGTGCGAAACATTTCTGCACCCCGCCTCAGACTGCATTTCCAATACTAGTCTGTACACCCCTTAGGACTGTGCTTAGTCCGTCAAATCTCTTCTGTTGGGGTTTTCTGCGCTAAACAAAAAACTGCGCACTGGATCCCACAAATGGTTTTTAGCCTAACCATTCATGGAACCACTTCTGTGGTGCTGTTCTACCCTCGCTCAGGATCTTCTCAGAATTCCATCAAACCGTCTTTGCTCACGTCCATGGCATCATCTTCATCGTCTTCTTCCTCTCCATCTTCTGCTGGTCCATATTGGACTGTGGCACAGAAGTCTCGGCCTGACATTTCACACTGTTCTGAATCTCGATACCTCTGCGCTCTTTCTTCATGGGTCTCCATCATGGCTTCGTCTGAGGAAGTCTCAGGACTAGGTGGCGTCCTCAGTGAATTTCAATCCCACTGACCAATTCCACCACGCTCTCGGATCTCTCGAGCTCAAGCAGCTTCACCACCAATTGGAAAATCTGTCCATGGGTTGCAGCTAACAATTCACGTTCCACCACCCCATAGCCATAGCTTGGAGAACCATCTTCCTCGTCCAACTCGTTGTCACCCGTGAGAGAAGCCTGCATGCGCTCACGGTCAGCTGGACTGGCATTTCGAAGCTCTGCAAAACATCTTTGAAGCCATTCCCGTGACTGGGTATACTTTCTGATCCTTCCAAAATTGTTGTCTCGAGTTGCCCTTGCAAGCCTGCCCAACACACGGGCATATGTCCACGTCAACAGCCCTTCCAACGTGTTGGTATCATGTGTGACCACCGGCCCAACTGCAAGTTCAGTTGGCATGGGAGGTGGCATTGGCACTGGGCGAAGAAATGGGCTGCGCAACATCCACCATGTATATGCTGCAAGCAACAACGTCCACAAGGTCAGGACCAGGAATGAGAACTGGCTGCTCCCACTGTTGTTCTGAGCAGTCTCATCCATGTCAGCTCCAAAACATCCTCCAAGGCCCATGGCCATGCTTCCCTGCAAAGAAATCATGGCAACATGTGCTGTGGTAAGTCTCTTCTTCTTTGACTCCCGAGGCTCATCTGTTGCACGTGTAGGGCTCGCCTCGTCTGATGAAAGATCCGACACCGTGTTCAACATGTCTGTTGCCTCCTGTCTTGCGGTGTCATCAGAACCCATAACATGATCCAACAGATCCACCAACAGCGTCATGCGCTGTGTATACGCAAGTGCTCTGGAACTGTTTCCATTGGAGATTGAATCTTCACGTCGACGGTAGCACCTCTCAAACAGCCATGAAATCAAAGCTTCAGGACTGAAAGCGGGAAAGTCTGGAAGACCTTCACAACTGAAATCTGTCTCAGTTTCGCTACGGGACATCTCCACAGAAGTCAAACCATCACCATCACTGCTGGCCAAAACTTCAATGTGAACCGGCTGATCATTGCGCATCCATAAGAACACCATCTACAAAGTCAGCAAGGTGATCCAGCTGGTGACGATGGTTGCCTGCATAGTCGATCCTAGAAAATTGCTGTCCATGGCTTCACTTGGCACGTCCGACCCGCAACCCTGAAGAAGCAAGCTCAAGGCGCCAATCAACATGTTGATCTGATATCTGGAAGCGCTGTTCTGCTGAGGTTGAGGAACATTTCTGAAAATTCGACCATTTCTGAAAATTTGACCTGGGTCATATTGTCCCACAAGGCTGTTGTTTGCACTGTCCCAGATACCAAACAAATACAACAGTGATTCCAACCTGCTGATGCTGAGTCTCTTGGTGGCTATGTCGGATGGATTGATTGCTCCTAAGACTGCTTTGACCATCAACAGTTTCTCACCAACCAAGTCTTGAAGCCAAAGGACTCGACAGCTGAGATGACGCAAACGACCAACTCCACGTCTTGATAAGATTCCACGTGCGGCTGATGAGTCAATGTACAAACACATGAGAATCGTTGACTGAAGCATCCATGAAATGATGGCTCTGATGAGGATTGCATCCATCACTGCGCTGGCGGCTGCATACGTTTCTGACTCTGCGCTGGAAAGTGACACAATCTTCTGTGTTCGACTGGAGGAGTAAACCAGGCAACATCCAAAGAAAATGGCAGCTCCTGACACTGAACGTCGAGTGTCACGGTCTGATGCCCAATCTGCATCACTGAACACTTCCAGCACCGGTTCCTCACACTCATAGTCTTTGAGTAGTCCAGAGTGAATTCCTTTCCATCTGAGAGAAACATGTTGGTCTGCGTGACCAGCCAGATATCCTACCAAGTGCTTCAGCACAATCATCGTTTTCTGTGTTGGCTTTGAAGAGAACGTCGAAAGGTATCTAATCACATATTGACATTGTGGAAGGTCAGGTGAAAGATAAAGCAAAATCCCCACGCATGAACGGTAAACTGATCCATCATGAGCACTCAACTCCTCTGACTTGTCAGGAAATTCAATCTCAGAATGTCCAGGTGACTTCTTGTTCTGCAAGCGCTTTGAGAGTTGCAACAACTTGCAAAGTTGATCTAAATGTTTCCCATGGATCTTCACCACCATGCGCCCAGATTCCAAAAGCTGGTGGGTGCGCTTGAGAAAGGTCAACTCGTCACCGGCATTTGACTGCATATGTGGGATCAGCTCTTCTGTGACTGCTTTACCAGAAGGTCATCCACGAACGTAGGATGGATGGATAGGCCTCAAACTCTTCCATCCCAAGGCTGCTTTCACGAACAAACTTGACCAAGTCTCGATGCCACAAAAGACTGCCATCACGCTGACCTGGAAGGACACGGCCCAAACTGTATGAGACACTTCTCCCAGAGGCATCTGTGCAGCGTACACGGGTTGGCTGTTCTTGCTTCACTGTCAAGAAAGCGTCTTTGACATCAATAGCCACCATCATCGTGTCCTGGTGCTCTCGCAGGGCCAAAAAAGCAAACAGGCCAAATGCGGCTGGCAATGTTCGAAGTAGCCGGTGAGAAGAGAGCTTCTCTGTCAGGCTGCAACCATGTGTACTCCCTCGCAACCAAACGACTGCGACGCAACCAGATAGCGTTGCCTTGCTTGTCTTTCTTCTCTCTCTGCGCACAAAGCGTGTGCTCAAGCTTTTGGCATCGTGAGGCAAGTTGTCCTCTTGCAAAACTTGGAGACCAGATAGCCTTTCAACCTCCACTTGATCTGCAATGCTATCCAAGCGCTGAAGTTCATCTGCACTGAGCTCTGGCTCTTGAGGGCTATACAGAAAACTGAGCTCATCCACGTTGGGTCCTACATCATCCATAATCTCATAGGGATCCTCGTTGAGATTCAATTCATGTTGGATCATCGTGTCAACTTCATCCATTTCAAAGTTGACGTCAGGTTCAATGTCCAAGTGCTCAATCTTCAAAATCTGCCCCCAGAGTCCAAGATGTCCAGTGTCATCAAGCTTGGCAGCTTTGCTGACAGGCTGCATACTTTCAAAAGAAGCATCATCCAAAACTTCGGCTGGTGCATCTGACTGTGGCGTTTGTGGAACAACGTCTCCATGCCCTGAAGAAGCTTCAACTGCTGTTGCATGAAAACGCTTTGAATCACCAGTCACATCATGTTGTGTGCTGTGCTTGCCAGAAGATTGAGAAGAAGTTTCAGCATAGACGGGGTCTGAGGCACGTCC